TAATAAAATAGTATATATAATTTATAAAAAAAATAATAAACCTTCAAAATAAATTAGCTAGTCATAAATCAATATTTATAGATTTTAAATAACTTTGCTATATGTATTATAGATATATTCATGTAAAATAAATTTTCTTACCCAGTGATGATAATTTCAGGATAACTTAATGTCGATGTTCCCCATTCACCACCATTTATAGGCCACTCCTTAAATTACAGAAATTAATTAATTCATTATGAAATGAATATCATTTATAAATTACTATACATTCACACATTATATAGGTGAGAGTAAAAAAATACTGTAAACCAAAATTACTTTGTGACAGCAGGGGAAACTGACTTAAAATAGATTTATATCCATTTCAAAATTTTGTTTGCAGTAAAAGATTGATATCTTGTATAGTGATGTTACCTGACGCTACTGCTGAAAAGTACTGGATGTAATATTTCCCACTATTGTTATTCCATCTGATAACCAAGAAATTGAATGATGTATGAAATGTGAGATACTTTCTTTGGTTGTAAAAAAAACTAAACCAGTTGATATATTAAAAGTATGTTTAAGTTAGTGTTATTCTTGCTTATAATTAATTTTTACTAATTAAGTAAAGTTTATTGTACAAGGTGTAAACCTGTTAAAAAGGGGATTACAAAAATGTATCCAACCTTAGTTGGTTTGTAATATAATACATTAATTCCAATATAATCTACATCTTGCCAAAAACCATTGACATATATTTTTGAGTGCTAGAGACTTAAATATATAACTTCGTCTGTCATAGTACTCAACTATAGAAATCTTCTAGACAGATTACAGAAATCATTAATAAATACAATTTATAACTATATGGAAAATTGTTACATAAACTTATCATTGTTGCTCTTAACCTATGTACAGAGGTTGTATTAATCTTATTAATCACAGCTTTCGTCCATGATGGGAAATTGAGAAATTTTTATACAATATTATAAGTTATTGTTTTCTCTTCATATAATCTTATAGCATAGATATATATAATAACAAAGATACAAGCACAAAACCCTTAATATCAAAATATATTATTACTAGCAGACCCTGCCACGCGTTGTTGTGACTCAAAATGTATCTATTATAAATGTATAACACTTCCCCCATTGGGAGGAGGGAGATTTTTCGAAAAATCTCTTCTTAGTGTACATTCTTTTGACGTACCCTATTAAAACCCAATCAAAAATGCAAAAAACCACATCTAAAATAGTATAATAGAAGCCAAGTTCTTCACAGTAAGCCTTAATCCTGTCCCTCTCCCCAGCAGGGGAATATTGAAAAATCCCTTTTTAGTGTATATTCTGTTGATGTACCCTATTAAAATGCAATTAAAAAAAAACTCAGTAGGGAGAATTTCAACATGTATATTATATAAAAACACGTATGCATTTGAATGCAGCGATGTGTTAAAATTTCAAAGGAATCGGTAGGAACAAACGAACATTACATTTTTATTTATATAAATAGATAGAAGATGATCTGCTTTAGTTCATCCTCATAGAAAAGCATGTCTCACAGAAAAGCAAACTTAAGTCGTCGTAATCATAGTGCCATCTGTTGGACATAAAAGCCTTAACCCTAGATGATATCTTTTAATTTATATGAATGCTTAACGGAATAATATACAGCCTATGACCACCCTGAAGTTCCATTCTAAATATTGGTGAAAAATTTTTTGAAATCGGATGAGTAGTTTCAGAGATTACCCCGTACATCCAAACTTACAAACATTACCTCTTTATAATATTAGTATAGATTATACTATATCTCACAAAATTACTTGAATTATAGCTTTTCTAAATATCTCGACACAAATAATTTCAGAAACATTTTATATCTCCTGAAAGCTTCGCTCTATTATACACTATAATATCATAGAACTTATTATAGATTACTTGTCAACAGAATTTAAATAGTTATCATCATAAGGTATGAACATAGTTTAAATAAATTTTTTTAAAATCCTATTTTTATGATTATAACAATCATATGACTAATACTTCTATCCTTCTATTTATCTACCATTTCAAATTGATAATCAGATCCTATTTAAACACCACTCAATTGAAACGCTTTCTCCTGGTTGATATCATATGAGTATTTTTGTTTATCCTTAATGTAGTAATCGTCTCTTATGATTATTTTATTCTCATTAAGTTTTTTCTCTAATTGTTGGTAATAATTTTTTCTCCTGATTCTTGATCTTTTACATAGATCTGTAGTGAATATTATTTTGCTTCTCTCCTTTTTACTGACCTTATCTTCCTTTTTCCAAAACTCTCTAAGAATCAAATTTCTGTTATATAAGGAATCCAATGAAATTTTCACTATTGGCATTCTTTCATCATTAGTTAGTCTAACAACATTTTCTGTACAACTGTTAGATATTCCCAAATCTTTTTTTATATACTGGTTAATTTCTTTAGCATAATTATGTGAATTAAATAGGAAAGTAATAATTATAATATTTAAACTCTCTCTCCTAAGAACCTGTAACCGGTGTGTAATGTGTCACAGTTGACAAACTTTTTTGAACATCACGCTGTTCTTCAAGTCAGCTGGTTAAGGAATTTCACTGGATGGAGTGTATGTTATTCTGTGGGATCAGGTGTCATTCCGGCAGGTGTTACAGGTTCTTGGGAGAGAGTTTAGATTTCACCCCAGTGCTGAGTTAGAATGGATTCTGTACTTAATTATAATATTCCTGTTATTTCTCTCATTAATCGATTTATCTATTTCGAATTCTATCATACCTTTTATTTGGCAGCTGTTCTTAGATATTATTTCCATTTCTTCTACTTTTTGAGATAACTTTGTCAACTTCCCATGAAAAAAAATTATTTTCTCCTTTCAGTAAATTAACTTGTTTTAATTTCTTGTATTTCAAAATAAAGTTGTGCAAATTTGTCCTGCATTAGTTCATAAATCGATTTTAGTGTGTATTGGAGTTCCTCCTGCACCTGTGGTTCCTTATCACTAACTACTTCAAAATAATCATTAATTTTCGTAATTCTTGTAATCTCAGGGCTTTGTTTACAGATAGCTCCTTCTATTTAATAATAATCTATGCTACTTAGATCTTCCAATTGTTTCCCTTTTTCCTTTTCTTGGATGTTGTCTTTACATGGTCAATCATGCCCCCTTCTTTGCATGACTGCTTGACTCACTTGTTGCGGAGAACAGGGTAAGAGACCTGGATTTGGTTCTATCCCAGCAATTAGTAATAAAGATAAAATTAAGTCTAGGATAATCTGTTAAAATATATTCACTTCCCTGAATTAATCATTCCCATCTAATTACAGGCTTCCAATTCTCCAATACACAACACCAAGCTCTACTCAAAAGTCTGCTAACACCTCCGATGATCAGCCTGCCCCTTATTTTTTACTAATTAATTTAGCTAGTGTAAGCTATACAAGTAAATTTCAAAGTAACTCAATGAAAATTAATAAACTCCTTATAATTAATAATCCTCAACTTAATAAAAAGTAACTCAATTGTATAAAATACTCTATGAATTACATAATGAAAGCATAGGAAGTGAAATTGCAGAATTATTAGATGCAGATAGCAAGATGAAACATTTCATAATAAAGATTTAATCTAGAATAAAAAATAAATTATCATGTAATTGTAATTTTTGATATAAAATGCTACTCTTGAATTACAACAGAAGTGAAAAAAAGTAATACATATTTAAGTTCAATGAAGTCTATTGGAAAATATTGGTAGTGCCTGAAGAAAAACAGAAGAAATGGTTGATTTTCTGTCTTGATAATTTTATTTAATTTCTCTTATTCTCGAAAAACAATTTTCTACATTCAATATCACATTGTCAAGAAGTTTCATTTTCTAGTAATAAAAAGAAATACCATTTATTGTTTATTGAAGATTAAAACTGTTTGCTATGTGATAACTAATAAAAGTTAGTATTTCTAATGAATGATTTTGTTTCTCCCTTTTCCTTTCCTACTAGTAATTGCTGTAGAGTAACATTGTGACATGGAGTCCACTATAGATTTATGCAACAAACATGCTGTCATAAAGTTACCTCTTGTGACAAGGTAAAATTGTAACAAATAATTTTCACAATATTGTTTAAAACAATGAATTAAAAACTGTGTAAAGAAAGGGGAATGTTATATCTTCTTAAAATAACAACATATTTTGTCTAATAATCTGGTAATTATTATTAAAAAAAAAAAAACAGGTTAAAAGTGTCACAAAGTAATCCTGGCTTATGGTACTGTAATACTTTCAGTCTAATTCATAGATCATCCTCAGGATTCAACTTTTAGAATGGAATCATTCAAATGTTACAAAAACATATATAATTTATAATCAATAATTTGCATAATTATAAAAGAAAAGAAAATACCAACATTTTCTGCAAAATAACATAAATAATTGAAAAACAGTTTTATTCTGTTTGTTCTGTAAGCTGAAGTTAACCAAAGACATGATTGAAAAGATTTCCGATTAAATAACATTAATTGTATTAATTATTGCTATAATGTTAAATAAAACAGTAAATTTTAAAATCAATTTTATAACTCAATGTGGAAATATAGACACTTTTAATGTGTTGTATGTTAGCATCATGACACAAGTATAACAATTGTCTGCAACTTGAAGGCTCACACACAAACATTTTACAGATTATGTTTTAGAGAAACAAGTAATATTTTGACATGCAATAAATCTCTTATTTGTTGTAATGGTTAGGTAGAAGTAACTAGGATAAAAAAAGAACAAAGAATAAAGTGGTGGAAATTGAAAGAAGGGGACCTAATAGAGAGTTAAAAAAAAAAAAAAAAGATTGGAAGAATAATGCTACTGGAAGATGTGCAGGAATGGTGGGAGTTTAATAGTTGTATTACAAGAAAAGTTGGAGAAGTAGTATTGGGGAAAATATCAGGAAAAGGGCCATCCTATGGAAAATAGGCTTGATGGTAGAAGATGTAAGTTTCAATAAAAGAAAAGAAAGAAATGAAAAAATAGAAAATATTCAATAAAGGCATATTTCTTCATGACTTTTTTTTTTTTTGTGTTTGTTTCAGTTTTTCCCTCGACCCCTTCATTTTTGTTTGTGGTGTCACCTTTTCCCAAGTCACCTCATGTCAGCAGCCAGATTGGCCAGTAGAGGTCACATGAGGAGGATATCTGCTCAGTCAGT